GGGCGCCGACGGGCGAGCAGCCAATCACCGAGGGCCGGGCGGCCGCGCCGCGCGGGGAGCACGCCCCAGGCGAGCGTGCGACCGCAGGCTGGAGGGGCCTGCTGCGCGGGTCTGGGCTCTCCGCTGCGCATTCTCTGGCGACCACGGGTTGGGCGAGGGGGGTTCGGTCGCTTACTAAAGTCTGCCCTTCCAAACGAATACAGAACGTCAGCGGGATGTGACTTGGTATCCCGCGAGACGAAAGACTGCGAGTTGGAAGGATAAAAAGTTTTTCCCCTCCACCTTGTTGGGTCACTTTGGCAGAGCTAAAGAGGGTAATGGTTATTAGTGTGGGCACTCGGAACGCGTCTTTGCTAGAAAGCGCCCCGCTTTCTCCTGCCATCTCTTCTGGCAGTAACGCCTGCGTCTTTCCAGAGAAACCCAAAGCAGCTGTCCCAGCACGTAGAGCCTGCAGGAGGCTGAGGTGCGGGCAGATGGGAGGACGCCATGGAGGCTGACTATTCCCTCCCCGCAGGCCCTGAGCAACCCGACCGCCCAGCCTCGGAGAAAAACAGTCCGCCCCCTCTGAAGTAGGGGAGACCGGGCCTAGTCTCGGAAGCTGCGCTGGCGGGAGATGGGGAGGATGTGGGGGTGTCATCACGGTGCGGCCAGATGCGTAGCAACGCCGCCCCCTGCCGGTGCCCTGCGAGCTGCGTCTCGTCGGAGAATCGGACCGACCTGTGGCAGAGCCTGAGCACTATGGGGGTGGTGGAAGGGATCACTAGGACTGCACTGTTGTTCTCATAAGCCTGTGGTTTCCTTCAAAGCACACCCATGTGTTTCCCGTCCAGCGCACGAGTCCATCCTATCCCGGCATTTTAAATACTCAATAATCACCGCTCCTGTGCCTGGCACCAAGCTGAGAGCTAAGGATTGCAGGACGTTACACACAGTGTAGTGAGCGTTCGTCACACACAAGCACTTATAATTATGGCTCGATTACTTCGGTGTTATGAGAGAAGTATATTCTAACCCATAGGGGAGGTGGGCAAACCAAGATGGGCAAATGGGGGGGAAGCCCAGAAGACAGGTGTCTTTGAACTGGGTCCCTTCAGTAGTTAAGGGAAAAGAAGAAAGACATTATCTGCACAGGTATGCATACAAAAGAATTAGAGAAAATTTGAGAAAAGATATGTGGTTTAAAAATGAAATTGGTAGTGTGTTGTCATTAGGTTCGTGGGGGTTCTGGGAATTTATTAGGCATTTCTAAGCCGTAACACCTCTTTACTCGACTGAGGAAAGTCTTCCATGTCATAGGGTTTGGGAACAGAAACCAAGAAGTTAAGAAAATTGCCTGGGACCAGCAGTTGGCATAATGGCTATGTAGCCGACCGCGGTTCAAGTCCCGGACCTGATGGCTTAAACTCACTCTGGGCACATGTGCGTGCGTGCCCAAGATCCCAAGAGGAGAATTGGAGGAGAAGGGAGTACAGTGTGGCCATCCCCCCAGGAAAGGGGAGGGGACTTCTCATTTTCTGTCTGTCTGTCTGTCTCTGTCTGTCTGTCTGGCGCATACACACACCCTGTAGCAAAAACCTCTCAAAAACAAGAAACTTGCCCAAGTTCTACAACAAGCAAATTGTGAGGTCAGACCTTGAACCCAGCCCATTTGACTGTGAATGTGGTTTAGTCATCATTGCCAGGGATGGGATATCTATAGCTTAGCAATACCTTCACATTGGAAGACAAGATAAATAACAAAAAGATTTTTTTAATAAGGAAAGTCCTGTTAAGGGACCAGCAGATGGCATAATGGTTATGTCACTGGACTCCCACATACTCAACCGTGATTCAAGTCCCAAATCTGGTGGCTTAAAATATACCAGGTGCATGTGCATGTGTGCCTAAAATCCCAAGAGGAGAATCAGAAGGGATAGTGGCATGGCCATTTCCCCTGGAGGGTGATTTCTCACTTTCTGTCTCTTTGTCTCTCTGGAGAGCACACGTTACCTGTAGCAAAAATCTTAAAAAAAAAAAAATCGTGTTAAAAATGTTTCCTTCTGGAACCAGCAGTTGGCATAATGGCTATGTTGCTGGACTCCCACGTAGTCGACCATGGTTCAAGTCCCAGACCTGGTGGCTTAAACTCACGCCGGGAGCGTGTGCATGTACCCAAGATCCCGAGAGGAGAATGGAGGAGAAGGGATTGCAGCATGGCCATCCCCCATGGGAGGTGATTTCTCTGTCTCTCTCTCTCTTCCTCTCTCTCTCTTTCTGGCGAATGCACGCACCCTATAGCAAAAACTTATCAAACAAACAAACAAACAAACAAAAACCAGTTTCCTTCTAAGGGCTAATATGAATTGTGTCGCTTCTCAAAATAAGTCAGGGGCCTTCACACTGGGAGCACGGTGGACCCAAATGCAAAATGTTCACACCGGGACCTCTCTAAATACCCAATCATACCTATAATCCTAAACTGGGAGTGGATGTCAGCATGAAGTCTCTGTTGGGAAGCCAGTCTCTGTCATTCTCTCTTTCACACTCAATGAAGAAATAATTAACAAACAAACAAAAAAAAAAAGGTCTAGGGATAGATAGTATATCAGGTATACTTCAGTTAAGTATTAGCTTAACTGTCATTATTTTATTGTTTTAACCCTCCTTTAAGAAAATGAGAGTTTTAAAAAACAAACAAACAAACAATAAAAAGAGTAGAGTCTCAGAGCTAGTGAGTACCTGCGCATACTAAGGATTCTGTTCTTTGGTGCTAAAGGAATCTGCAGTTTAGCAAGCTGAATGGTGATCCCGAGACACAAGGACCGAGTATCACTTTGTGCTGCACTGGTGTCTAGGTGACCTCCCAAGCAGTAACTGCTTGTCTCTGCCCAGCTGTTCTCATGGCCTGTCCCATGAGAGGAGGGCTGGCTGACAGCAGAACATGAAGTCGAAGGCAGAGGGCTTGCCGGGTGTCACACCCATTGCCAGGAAAAGGATCCCCTCCCCCCAAGCTGCCACTGCTCTCTGGCTGACACTTCCCTAAACCTTCAAACATCTCTACTTACCAGCCATTCTCCAGACCCCACTACTTCCTGCATTCTGGGATGTCTGAGAGATCTTACTTTTGGCAGGATTTTGGTGACCAGCTTAATTTTTTACCCAATTAATTATTAATATGTAAGTAGAATGAAAACAGAAGGAGAGCATTTTTCCACAAACTTTTTGAAGACCCTGTTTAGGTGCCTGATTCAGCGGTCATGCCCTACATATTGAATAAAAGTATATGTTGTTCACTGGTGTTCTTGTTATCTTCAAACTGAGATATTTACTTTTGGGGAAAAAAATATTCATCCTTACACAAAATTAAAGATTTCACAATTACAAGCATTATTTTTTTCTGAATAACCAAAACAATTATTAAATGACAATTCTATACTTTCCAAACACATTTTCAGCCAAGACAGTTCTCAACATAGTTACTCTTAGATTACGTTTAAGTGTAGAGTTTTTTGTTTGTTTTTCAGGCTTTAGCTTCTGAGCATTCTTGATAAACAATTTACTTCTCATATAAAAGGAAAAAGAAAAGATCTATGGCATATGATGCTATCTGTGAGTTAATAAAGACCACCACAAAACTGAAATATGGACAGTAAAATTATGTTTCTTTCAGAGTGAGTAAGAAAGCTTTTATCTGACTTTTCTAACTAAGTTTATTTTTCAGATAGGGCATGTGCACAAAAGAGGAGAAAGAGTAGAGCCTCAACAGGGTCTTATCATAACTTGACCCCCTACCCCAGCCCTCTAATCATAAGGATCCTGGGCAGAAAGCTTATACTTGGCATGTTTTGCAGCTGACCTGGGTATCTGAACCCTTGGTCTTCCATGTAGCCTCCAGCACTGTAGTTGTGTTTATCACCTACTACACCACCCAGGCTGGGCCTTTATCTGAACTTTGTAAAGGAAAGCTTTACGTACATTAGGTTGTCAGGAAAGTCATGATGTATTTTTCTGTGTTTCTATGCAAAAATGTGTCATGACTTTCCTAACAACCCAATAGTCTTGAGAAACAAACACTCATAACTTCTTGATTCTTTTTTTTTTTTTTGGGGGGGGAGGTTTTTGCTATAGGGCACATGCACTCACCAGACAGAGACACAGAGACAGAAAGCAAGAAATCACCCCCCAGGGGGGGATGGCCACACCACATCCCTTCTCATCCATTCTCCTCTCGGGATCTTGGGCACACACGCACTTGCGCCTGGCGTGAGTTTTAAGCCACCGGGTCCGGGACGTGAACCACAATCGACTAGCGACATAGCCATTATGCTAACTGCTGGTCCCATAACTTCTTGATCTTGATTTAACAGTTACAGCAGCAATCAACCTGAACTTAGCAAAATAAGAAATTCAGTGTGGGCTTTAATAATATTTACCGAGAGAGAGAGAGAGAGAGAGGATCCCAGAAAACTGCTACTAAGCCTCCCTCTCTCATGGCACTCTAGCTAGTTTCCCCCATATTCATGTCTTGCTCTTGGTCTTTCCAAACCAGCCCTTTCCACTCTCCATTGATTGTTCACCTTCCACAAGTTCTGTTCTTTGACCCTTTCCACAGAAGTGTCCGGAGTCCTCTCCATCCATCATTTGCTGCCTTGTAGAGCAAATTCTACAATTTCTGAGACTGCTGGAGTAGGGTATCCTTCTCCAACAATGCCCATGCAGATGTTTTCATGGATAGTAAACTGGAAATCTCTGCTGCCCAGTTCGTGTAAGCAACACAGCAACTGAGTGAAATGCTCCATGTAAAAATTAAAACTCATTTGGGAAATTATTATAAATGATCTGTTTTTACAAGGAAATGCTGCCTGCGAAATGTCTTTTCTGTGTTTTTAGGGAAATAATGAAAGTTTATTTGGGGCTTACAAAAGACCAGCAACATCCTAAGTTCTACAATCTCTAGGCTAAGTTTAGGAACAAATAAGCAATTTATTGCCAGTGTGGTTATTAGTAATCTATAAATTAACTTTCATGGTTTTAAACTTTTCTCATTTTTTATTTCATAGTCCCTTGTTTACTCTTTAAACCTGTTTTGACCAGTGGACAGTTTTATTCTTGTTTCTTTTCTTTATTTTATTTTGATTATGATCGTGTATGCATGCACACATGAGCACGAGAGAGAGAGAGAGATGAGCCCCCTCCAAGGGGATGGTCACACTGTGATCTGCTTCCTCTAGTCCTCCTGCCCATTAGATTGTGGGCACTCATCCACATTCCTAGTACAGGGATTCAAACCATAGTCACCATGTCAGATCTGGTTTCTCTTGAGCAGTGCATTACCTTTGTGCCACAGAGCCTGCCCCAGTTCTATTTTTAAAGATGTAGAAAGGCTAGGTGGTTTTCCCCACATTTATTCAGCTAGTTATGAAAAAGTTAAAGTTAGACTCAGCAGTCCTCAGTTATGAACCAGAACCACTTCTTAGGACCACACTGTTAAATCTTACATCTGTATAAGTGGATTTAAATGATCAGTAACAAATAACTAAATTTGAAGAGATCTTCTAGCTATACAAAGACTTATTTGTGTGGGCTATATTCTCACCTATGAACATCTTATAAAGCTTCACTACTTTACTGTTAAGCATCTTGTAAGAGTAATTTTCTAAGGTGTTGTTTCTAGTTGTATTCATTTGAAGTATATGACTACATAAAAGTAACTATCATCACAGAGCAGTGAGTTCAGGAAATTCAATATTCAAGTAACAAATATGGTTGGTAGACCTATACCATCACTCCTAAAACCAAACATAGTATAGATTCTCCTTTAATAGAACTCTTCATCAGAAAAACTAGCCAGTAATTAGTTGTGCTATTATCAATGCTAATTATGCCAGAATTTCTTCCTGTTTTGACATCTCGATGAAATGCTTGTCATTTCAATCCATGTTGCAAGTCCACGGGCCAGACTGTTACCCTAAACAAAAGAGACATTTAAAACTTATGTTCATTTGGCAAAATACAAACTAGAAATACATCTCCAGTATTTTAAAAACTACCAAATATGAATAAGTAAACTATAATATTTGTATTACAATTTTTCTCCTTCTGTAAATTCATGCTATAAGATATTTAACTGCTTTAAAGAAAATATTGATGTTTACTTTGGAATCTGTAAAGCTATATAAAGCATTTAAGGGGGAGGGATATAAAAAATTATTCCTCTTTTCTAAAAGGAATCTGGCCAAAAATGTTTAAATGTTGTAAAAAATAAGACCATCTTCTATTCTATGGATGTGTTCAGCTCATATTGATATGAAGAGCCTTCAAAATATTTATGGAAAATGTATATTATGAAAAACTATGCAAGGATTTAAAAGAAAATGTACCAAAATAAACTCATACTTTAATTGCATTTTTCTGTAAACTTTTTAAAGTTCTCTTCTATTTTCACCTAATAATTACCTGGTACTTATATTGATTCATTTATTGGCCACAAGCAGGTGACATGGATATTAAAGTGCTGGATTCCACATAGCTGACTATGCAGCTCAAGTCCTGAACCCAGTGGCTTGAAAATGATGCCAGGCATGTAGGCATGTGTGCCCAAAATCCCAAGAGGAGACTGGAGGAGAACAGATTGTGGTGTGGCCATCCCTCATGGGGAGTGATTCTCACTTTCCCTCTCTCTCACTCCATCTCTCTCTGGTGAATACATACACCCAAAAGCAAAACTAAAAAAAAAATAAATAAATTATTGGTCACTAATGGTTGATTTCTTTTATGTGAACTTCTAATATTCTAAAGAGGTTTTTTAAAAAAATGGTATATACCCATTCAGCTAATACCATTCTTATTTACTAAAGTCAGAAATTATTTAAGTGCTATATGAATTTGTAGCTGCTGCAGAAGGCAGATTACATTTTAATTATATTTATGCATTGTATTATGGTGTATTTTATTTTACTTTTTCAGCCTTACTGTTTTTAAAATGTATTTCCTTCTTCTATGAGCAAGGGAAATAGAGACAGAGAGAGACAGAGATAGGTATTCTCAACAGTGCCTTGATGTCATGATCTACCCCCAGTCTCAGTCAATCCCAGAGCATGGGTACAAATGCATCTGGAATGTTTGGAGAGGTCTCCAGATGTGAACCCAAAACCTCCCATTTGGATCAGCCTCACAATGTTGCATCACCATTGTACCACCATCTGGCCCCAGCATTTTATTTTAGATATTATAATTGTAGACAAAGCATAGAGATGATGTAAAATATTTCTGACCTAAAAGTAATTACCCTTTCCATATCAGATAGGTCATTATTTTGAGTCATACTTTCTTCATAGATCAAAGAAATTGAGTTAGCATGACTAATTCGTAATCCACTTAGTGTCTAAAGATAGCAAACTCGAATGAAAAAATGAAAAATAAACTAATTATTTAGGTGTTTTATCTACATGATATTTAACAGCCAGATGTCTGGTTAAACTTTTTGTTTTTAATAGAGTAAATGGAAATTTTAGTTGTCTTCCAAATTTAATGGAAGATCAATTTGACCAAAACATTTACTCCAGAACTTTCATTATAGATTTTGAATGTCTGTATTGATCCAGTTAACCGGTGGCTTTACAAACCACGCATACTACTTTGCTAAAGCCCAAGTAGCTTTCTTCTGTCAGCTCCTAATGTCGTGCATGACCCCTTGTGAGCTGCAGTATGAGGGGCGTGACAGAAAGAGGTGCTGGACAGCACCGTTAAACTGAAAGGTTAGCATATGTGCACCTATGTGCTGATATTGCCCCTCATGTTCCCCCTGAGATTATTTGCTCTTTCATACATCCTCTTTCTCATTTCCTATTCATTAATACAGATAAATGACTGTAGAATCAATCTAGTGCAATAGACACCTTTTATAAATCCTTTAGGTCTGGTCACTATGGTTACCTAAAAATCACCTAGCAAATAATCTAGATTAAATAGCTTAATTATGTCCTGTGTGTCTCCAATAAAAATTCTCTTTTTACTCAGGAGGATAACAGTTTCAGTTGGAATACGGTCAACTTTAAAGTTTTAGTATATATACTCATAAATTTTTCAATGATCGTTTGATGACTCATTTTTCTGAAGCCCCAGTTACATGTGATTAATGGTCTTTTATTGCATATTTAATTCTTCTCTCTTTTGTTTATTTTTCAGTGCTACTGGGAGTACTTCAGAAGCTTCTACCACTACTCTATTATTATTATTATTACTATTATTATTTATATATTCAACTCCTATACATCGTTTAGACTGTAAAGAAATTTTACCCAGCATAATATACACCTCGAACCAGCCCAGTTAAGAATACTAGGGACCAGCAGTTAGCGTAATGGCTATGTCACTGAACTCCCATGTAGTCCACCACAGTTCGAGTCCCAGACCTGATGGCTTAAACTCACACCAGGTGTGTGTGCATGTGTGCCCAAGATCCCAAGAGGAGAATAAAGAAGGGATTGCAGCGTGGCCATCCCCCCTGGGGTGCGATTTCTCACTTTCCGTCTTTCTGTCTCTCTCGAACCCACGCGCCCTATAGCCAAAAAAAAAAAAAACCTATACATGTCATCATCAACAGATAACAAACAGTATCTGTGTCCCACAAATGTCTTACCTCTCTAGTTTTCTTCCCTAAATTTCTTTTCCTGAACTATTCCCCTCTCTCACTGTCCCTCCACTTTGTCCCTAGTGTCTATAACAATCTTCAGTGCTTTTATATCCTCCAGTCTTTGTCTCTACTCTGTTTTTGTAACAAAGTAATGTATGAAACTAATCAACTTTAGATTTCAAATTATGCTTGCATGCATAGGATGTAAAATAAAAATATTTCATAGAGATTTTTGAGAATGTTACGTTACTACTTACTGAAATTCTACAATAATAAATACATAAGATGTTTGTCATTATATTCTTAAGACATGTAAGTACATTTATTGTATATCCCAGATCAGAAATCAAGGTGTGTGATCTGAAAACTAACATGCTTATGAGGATAAAGGGACAGTCTGCTATCAATTCCTTTAAGGTCTTCAGAAATTTAAGATGTCAGTGTTCATCCATGGAGAACCCACCATGAAGAACACTGTTTCTTCCTTCAGGGCATTCTCACAAAAGCCTCCGTGACAGCAACATTTCATATCATCAAGTGGACATTAAGATATAGCAGAAATGATATATCAGGGACTCAAGTCAACATTCACAAACCTACAGATATAACCATACTCTTCTTAAAATTAAATGCTTTTGCACACCTATTCAAAAGTGCTGACCATAAATTTGCTTTTGAAGTGTAAATTATTCTTCCAAAATCTGAGGACAAATGTGGTGTTTCACTGACAAGCATCATGTTCTTTGCAGACATAGGGTCCCCCAGTTTCTAGTTTCTGCTGTGACTTCTTTTTTCTTTCTTTTTAACAGAGATTTTTGGTATTGGGCACATATCCTCACCAGAGGGACAGAGACAAAGAGGCAGAAAGTGAGATATCACCCCTCCAGGGGGATGGCCATGCCTAATCCCTTCTCCTCCTCTCCTAATCCATTCTCCTCTCAGGATTTTGGGTATATAGGCACACACACCCAGCATGAGTTTTAAGCTGCCAGGTCTAGGACTCAAAACACAGTCAACTATGTGGGTAAGAGTCCAGCAACATAACCGTTATTCCATCTGCTGGTCCCTGCTGTGGCTTCTTATACAGCTACCTGACTCCCTTCATGTTTAGCCCAGTCCATTTTGCTTTCATCTGGGGCCAGTGCCACTTTGTTTTTGTTTTTGATCACTTCTCGCTAATAAATGCTCACAACTTATTTGAGTACATTTTATTATACTAGGAGATTGGACTTTTATTACAATCAAGTAGAACACATCAAATAAAGTACACTAAAACAAAACTTGTGCCAGTATCTGCATTAGATTATCCAAACATGACACAGTTAAATTTCTGAATTGGTCATCCCCTACCAGTTGTGACTTGCTGTGTCTTGCCAATTCAAGTCTTTGTGTTACTGCCTTTGCCATCAGTAGATCATCCTCACAATTCCACAAATGCCACTGAATTTCCAATCATTTTTCATATTTCTTACCTGTTACATAGTTCCAGGATAAGATGTTTACTTAAAAGAGAGAAAGAAGCAAGAGAGAGAGAGAGAGAAAAGAAGGAAGCAAAAAAGGAAGATTGATATTTTGGACCCTCACAAATTGTGATCAATCACTATGCAGGTAATAACTCAAAACTCTAGCCCCAACAAAGCTAGTTCACATATTTGAATTTTAATAAATTATAATTCAAAGCAACTTGATCCTAAGAAGAAACTGTATTTGTTGCAAAGGGTCAGAGGCACTAACGATCAGCTCTCCATGTTCCTTTAACCAATGGCAAAGCCACCTTAGTTAATACCAGATCTCCTTATTCACTGTTCAGGGTAAGTCAGTGGGTGACATGGAAACAGCTGAATGCATTATTCTAAAATGAAGTGACTAAATCATGGGGTTGAAAGTTGGATGCAGGAACCGTAGGAATGGATATTGTTTCCTCATTTTTTATTTAAAGAATTATTTAATTTTATTCATCATTGTCTTATTTATTTAAATTTGAGCAGAGAGTGACACAGAAAGGTGTGTGTGTGGGGGGGGGGGGAGGGGAACGGGGGAAAGAAAGGTG